CCCGTGTCCCCTGCTTTGGCAGGCAGACTCTCAACCACTGCACCACCAGGGAAGCCCAAGGTGGTTACTTTAATGGATAAATGGCAAAGAAAGTGGAATCTCAAATTTCTTGCTTTCTTATCATTATGCAGTAACATTTAGGACATAGTTACAGTTTGTCCAAGGTTTTTATTTTCAGACATGCAGTGAACTGGTTTATTGCGAGATTGAAATTTTATTAAAGTACCCGCTCATATTTTTATAATTTAATAAATTGGGGTATTACCAAGAATTTAAAACATTAAAACTATTGAAAGTGATTTTTCTCCATTAGCAATGTTTTTATTTGTATTACTGTAGTTAGAAGCGATTTTTCTGAAGAACATAAGAACATAATTTTAAAAATATAAAAACAGAATCCAGTCTGTGTTCTAATTAAGGACTGCATAAGTTGCTTAACCTGTCCAGCAGTTTGTAGAGAAAATATCTTAACCACATTAAAATGGTTCATTAAAGTTATATGAGACTGCCTGATTACTAAGAATCTTTTGAATTATGTAGGTTAAATAGTATGGTTGAAATGCTTTTTCACTCTATATGCATTTTTTAAGCATTCTATCTTTAAAGGCTATATTTTAGTTTTTATTTTACTGATTGAAATAAAGACTGACCTAATTAGCTATTCCATGGCTGTTTTAAATGTGTTTTTTTATTATGCCTAAATCCAATTACAGGGAAACTTAAAAATTGCTAACAAAAGATGTCTTCTCTTGTAACCTAGGTCAAGTTAAGCCGATTATGCGAGCAAGATAAAGTGGTACATGCTCTGGAAGAGAAACTTCAGCAACTCCACAAGGAGAAAGTAGGACAGTTATGTTTATTATCTACAATTGATGTTACTTTATATCACTATTATCAGGACACTGATAACTAAAGTAAAAAAATTAATTCGATGATGCAGAATATTAAGTGTCATCATTTTTATTATAATAGTACACGCTTGAGCAAGCTTTGCTGTCAGCCAGCCAAGAGATAGAAATGAATGCAGATAACCCAGCAGCCATTCAGACCGTGGTGTTACAGAGGGACGATTTACAAAATGGACTGCTTAGCACATGTCGAGAACTCTCTCGAGCCACTGCCGTAAGTAGCAGATTTTCTGTCCTAGTGAGAGTCACTGGAATGTTACGTAGTTCTTTTTTTTTTTTCCTATTTATTTATATCTCTATTTAAGTGGGCTTTCTTTAGGATTTTTCTTTATTATAACAAAAATTTAATTTGTTATTATTAGTTAATAATAACAAAAACAAAGGGTGGTCTTTGTTTTTTTAATTAGTGGGGCTTTTGTTCTTTGTGAAATAGTTTTACAGAGAAGATAAATACACCTGGTTATATATTATGAAAATGAAAAGTTCTTAAGAATGTTAAAATTTATTGTTAAGAAAATAAGTGTTTTATTATAATAATTTTTGGAAGGTAGTAATTGGATTCATTTAACCACCCATTTCAATTATAGGCTCCTGTGAAATGCTTTTAAGACGCTGTCAACATTACCATTTTATAGCTGCAGTGTGATCTAAGTTTAGATGATAGTTTTGAGTGAGAAATATAATTAGCAGAATCTTTTAACCCATAGTCAAGTTACTTGATAAAGAGTCTCTTGGGATTACCAAATCTAAAAGTCTTACTTAGGGCTTCCCTGGTGGCGCAGTGGTTGAGAGTCCACCTGCCGATGCAGGGGACACGGGTTCGTGCCCTGGTCTGGGAGGATCCCACATGCCACGGAGCGGCTGGGCCCGTGAGCCATGGCTGCTGGGCCTGCGCATCTGGAGCCTGTGCTCTGCAACGGGAGAGGCCACAACAGTGAGAGGCCCGCGTACCTCAAAAAAATAAATAAATAAAAATAAAATAAAAGTCTTACTTAGAGTATATAAATTGAGTGTTTTATGAGTTTAAACAGTCTACTTTAGATCCTGTGATGTTATCATTTCTAAAGACAGTAAGAGCACCCGCCCAAGCAGCCCTTTGAAAGGGGAAAAAACCACCTGTTATAGAAAACTGCTAACACACCCTTGTCTATACCTTCAGTGGGCTGTTTAGGGGGCAGCTACCTTTTAAGAAAGTCCACAGACAGTATAGCTTAACTAAGAGAGGTCTTTCCAAGCTGCGAAGCTACCAGAATCTCAACATGACTTCAATTCTAAACACTAAATTCACATTCCAAACATGAACTGTTTTTAAAGGAATATGCCATGGTTTTATATAAATCAAAACTTGGTTTTTGTGCCTCTTAAGTACCTTATATTTAATATTCTTTTTTAAAAAAATACTATTATTGGAACTTCCCTGTTGGCGCAGTGGGTAAAAATCCGCCTGCCAATGCAGGGGGCACGGATTCCATCCCTGGTCCGGGAAGATCCCACATGCCAGGGAGCAACTAGTCCCATTCACCACAACTACTGAGCCCACATGCCGCAACTACTGATCCTGTGTGCTGCAGCTACTGAAGCCTGCGCGCCTGGAGCCCATGCTCTGCAACAAGAGAAGCCACCGCAACAAGAAGCCCGTGCACCGCAATGAAGAGTGCCCCCGCTCACCACAACTAAAGCCCACACACAGCAACAAAGACCCAACCCAGCCCCCCCCCAAAAAATGTGATGAATGATTGAACTGAATGACTTACCCAACATTACAAAGCAAATAAATGCAATGCCCAGAGGTCAAATGCAGGTCTTCTAACCATAGTCCTGAAGACTTAGATCTACATGGCTTTTTATAATATCATCATAGAGAAACTATATGAACCTAAAATGTTGTCTGCAAGCGAGAAGTCATTTAGTTCGTCAGTGATGGGTAAGATTTGGAAGAAAGAGGAAGTCCACACAGGACAAAATGCTCTGAACCATAGCCCAGAGATGAGAATGTGCAGGATATGTTTGGAGAAGCAAAAAATAGAACTGACTGGCTGACTGAAATAGAGGATGCGGATTATGAGATAAGAAAGGGCAAGAGGGGTTAAGCTGTCAGTTCCAAGCTAATGAAAAGCTCAGTATCCCTGTGACAACCTGAGTCAAATCAAAATTAAGTTAGAAACTATTTCATGATGTCATGTCTGTTATGGAAAGTTCTAGGGATGTACAATGTTCCATTAAACTGTTACTTCTTCCCTTACCAAATAGGTTTCATAACTTAAATCTGATCAGTAGGCTTAGAATTTGCTCCATCCCAAGGTAACTCCAGTTGTGATGGAAGTTTTATCAGAATATGTTCAAAGAAATTAATCATGTTTGAGTATCTCATTTTCTGGTGGTTATCCCATATAATCACTTTCCTGGGTTTTTTTTTCTTTGCCTTTAGCATTATTCAGTGGTCATTACAAACCCTCAATATGTTCTTCTAAGACATGTTTTAATGCATAGAATACAAAGTATGTTATTTGTGCCTTTATGTAAACATACTCATTTTTGTAGCTTAAGGCTATAAATGGTGTGTTTATAACAACATACTGGACATATGGTTGGCACTCAATGGACGCTGATTAGACATAAATTTGAACTACATTTATGCCAGCAGAATCCCAAAGGATTCCTCTGATTCTTTCACAGTTGATTTGGGGCCTTGGTTCAAATCCAAGCCTTGAGTTGTAAAAGATACAACATAAGAGGTATAACATTAAGGCCTCCATAGATCAAAGCCTTGATTCTGAGAACATCTTCTCCTCACCTGGTCGGCCACTGAGGTATTAAAACTAGGATTAACACAAGGTAAACATGTAAAGCAGTGTTCCCTTTGTGTTTGATTTAATTCTTTTTTTTCTTAATTTATTTATTTATTTTATTTTTGGCTGCATTGGGTCTTTGTTGCTGCACCGGGCTTTCTCTAGTTATGGCGAGCAGGGGCTACCCTTCGTTGTGGTGTGCAGGCTTCTCATTGCAGTGGCTTCTCTTGCTGCGGAGCATGGGCTCTAGGCACGTGGGCTTCAGTAGTTGTGGCGCGTGGGCTCAGTAGTTGTGGCTCGCGGGCTCTAGAGCGCAGCCTCAGTAGTTGTGGCTCGTGGGCTTAGTTGCCCCGCAGCATGTGGGATCTTCCCGGACCAGGGATCAAACCCGTGTCCCTGCATTGGCAGGCGGATCCTTAACCACTGCACCACCAGGGAAGTCCCTTGATTTAATTCTTTTTTTAAAATAAATAAATAATTTTTTTTTTTATGGCTGCGTTGGGTCTTCGTTGCTGTGCGTGGGCTTTCTCTAGTTGCGGCGAGCAGGGGCTACTCTTTGTTGCAGTGCATGGGCTTCTCATTGCAGTGGCTTCTTCTGTTGCACAGCGCGGGCTCTAGATGCGCGGGCTTCAGTAGTTGTGGCTCGCAGGCTCTAGAGCACAGTCTCAGTAGTTGTGGCGCACAGGCTTAGTTGCTCCGCAGCATGTGGGATCTTCCCGGACCAGAGATTGAACCCGTGTCCCTGCATTGGCAGCTGGATTCTTAACCACTGTGCCAGCATCTCCTTTCCCTAAGCCCCACCCACCAGACACACACATGCTTTAAGCATATAATGACTTTGTGTGCTCTCCTGGCCTCTACTTTTTTCTTTCTTTCGTTTTAATTTTTTAAATTTTATTCTACTTCTTTTTAACCTAAGCCTGATTAGTGAGAAAAATTTTTATAGCAGTCAGTTATACCTTGAAAGTTTTCAATGTGTTGCTGCCTTTGCTTAGGTTTTCTTCTGAAAGCAGAGCCTGGGATGAGGACCTGGGCTCAGAAAGTTTATTTGGGAGCGATTACAGGAAGCAGAAGTGAGGGAGGGAGTGTGGAGAACGAGACAGGGAGGGAGAAAAGCCAATAGAGGTTTCACTTCTGAGTTGGTCACCGCTGTGGGTGACCCTCAGGGGACCGTCTGAGGAAATGAGCTGAGAATGTTTGAACATGAGAATGTTTCCGAATTTTCCGCCGAGAGGCGGAGAGGCTAGGGTATCTATCCCTCCTTGGTCGAAGTTGCCCCAGGGTCCTTAATTCACCCACATTTCCAATCCGCCTTAGCTAATTGACCACGAACACTGGCACACGTGGAGCTGAACCACAGTTTCTTGAAATCAGGTGGGCAGAGGGCGTAAACACCTGCTGCGGTCACCTCCTTGGGGAGTTGACATTAGGCCTTACCTCTCACTGTAAGAGAAACATCCTCATGCTTTATCCGCTTAACAGGTGCTGCTCTTATTCTTCCCGACAATTCAAGGAGCCAGGTAAAGCAGACGCTATGCACATGTCTTAGATGAGCATGTGGGGCTCATCCAATAAAATATATTTTGTACATATATTGTTTGGTTTGGTCCTTAAGCAAGTGCTTTGCAAAATAGATATAATTATTATCTCCATTTTATTTTCATTTTTATTACCTCCACTGCACAGATGAAGAAGAAACTCGGGTTCATAGAGGTTAAATGACTTGCGAAAGTGACATAGCCGATACGAAAAAGTCAACACCTAAATCAAGGACTTTTTAAATTCTAGGGCTTCTATACTTTCTATTCCACTTCACTGTCTGTGTGGTCACTAATTTGTACTTTCTGAAACTTGGAATCAAATCTAGATTCTCTTACTCAGAAATCTCAACTTGGGATTTCATAGTTCAATCCTGGGTTTTGGCACCAAAATAATTAATTAGTTAATTAATTAATTAAAATTGGACTTTCAGATATCAGAAAACAAGTATAAAGGCCCCCAGTCATCCCGAATGGCTGGTAGATGGCTTATGCATTTATCTACTGCAGAATAGGACCAATATATGAAATAATAGTAAATACTATGAATATTTCTGGAGCAGTTTATTGAGTGCCAGTTTCCATTATAAGTGCTTTTACATGTACTTAAGCCACATAATAACCCTTTGATAAGGGTACTATTATTACTATGTTAAAAATGGAAAACTGAAGCACAGAGAGATTGCCCAGGGTTACATAGTGAATAAGCATTATGTATAGACTTCCATTAAACTTATTGATGTTTTAAACTGGCTTCTGCATGGGAGGGCCATGAGTAAATGGAGATTTTAGACTAGAATGGATAAACTTAAAGGGGCAAGGGAGGAGGACAAATGAACCTCCTCGAGGAGAAGCTTGCACATTAAATGTTTTCATATTCTCATTCTCAGTGAAACAAAGAGCTACTGAGAATTATGGTGACAGCAAAGTGTGATTTTTTTTTTTTTTACAGAAGATCTGTTGACATCTATGAATTGTCACGAATACGCTTTGAAAGATTTCAAGATAGTTTTTAAATACCCTGGTCATTTCATTATCACAATACTGCATTCCCAGAAATAGAGACAGTCAGGTGTGATACACCTCCTGATGTGCTGCAGTGGAAAGTACCCAGCAACACTTGTGAGGTTTGGAAAATCAAGTGTGAATCTCAGCAAGCCTCAATATCCAACTAGGAGTTTATAGGAAATACAGGAAACAGAAGAGCAAACTAAGCAATACCACAGGAATTCAATTAACAAAATCTAGCCTCGGAGAAATTCTACAGAACAAGTGACCCATTCTCTTCAACAAATAAGTAGCAAGGGAATAAAGAGGGGGGTGTAGGGAAATCGTTATAGTTAAAAATATTTTTTAGGAAATTCCCTGGCAATCCAGTGGTTAGGACATGGCACTCCCACTGCTGGGGCCCCAGATTCTATACCAGGTTGGGAAACTAAGATCCCACAAGCCTTGCGGTGCCACCACACACACACAAAAAAAAATATATATATATATATATATATATATAAATATTTTTTAGAGGAATACATATTAATGATTTAAATAAGAATTTGCCTGTTATTTTCATTTTCATTTCTTTTCTTTAGAAATGCATACTGATTTATAAATGAAATGATATGATGGCTGGCGTTTGCTTCAAATAATCTCACAGGGATAGAAAATGGATGCTGTAGATGAAACCAAATTGGCCACGTATTGATAACTATTGAATTAGGGTGCTAGTGGGCTACTTTTGTTTATATTTGGAAATTGCCATTGTGTATGTCTGAGAAAGGTTAAAAGAAAATTCACAAAAATGCTAACAAAAGGGTAGCATAATAAGTCTCTTTTTTTCATCTTATCCTGTATTCTAATTTTTCTACTTTTTTAAAATTTATTTTTGGCTGCGTTGGGTCTTTGTTGCTGCGCGTGGGCTTTCTCTAGTTGTGGCGAGTGGCAGCTACTCTTCGTTGGGGTGTGTGGGTTTCTCATTGCAGTGGCTTCTCTTGTTGCAGAGCACGGGTTCTAGGCACACAAGCTTCAGTAGTTGTGGCGCATGGGCTCAGTAGTTGTGGCTTGCGGGCTCTAGAGCACTGGCTCAGTAGTTGTGGTGCACGGGCTTAGTTGCTCTGCGGCATGTGGGATCTTCCCGGACCACGGCTCAAACCCGTGTCCCCTGCATTGGCAGGAGGATTCTTAACCACTGCGCCACCAGGGAAGCCCTTTCTACTTTTGTAATTATAAAAATTTATTATATCTTCAATTTGTACAGTAAAAAGTAACGACTTTCTTTGAGATGGAATATTGTTTTGTTTCAAAGAGAAGATTAGAAGAGAAACTAAATATATGAGTTAATGATTATAATTAGCCAATGAGTTAAAGATTATAAGTAGTCAAAACAGATGACTATAATTGTTATCATAAACTAGAAATTTAAAATAAAGGTAGCTCTGTAACCATGCCTGATTTAGTTGAACCTCACTTTATACCGTTTGAATTTGGTCCCTTGCAACATATTTTTTGATTTAAAAAAGCCAATATTGGGGAATTCCCTTGTGGTCCAGTGGTTAGGACTCCACGCTTCCACTGCAGGGATCCCAGGTTTTATCCCTGGTGAGGAGAACCAAAATCCTGCAAGCCGCGCAGTGTGGCCAAATAAATAAATAAATATTTAAAAGCCAATATAGTAGTCATTATTAGATAGTATAGTAAGATATGTGCTTAGTAAATAGTGATTTTTATTTGAGATGCAGTTATGTAGTAAGGCAAGTATAAAATCATAAAAGCATTCTTTATTTAAACAAATTATTCAAAGTACTAAACACATTCTTAAAAATCTATGGCAAGAAATTTCTACATCCTGAAGGTAAAAACGAAATCAGATTGACTTTATCTTCACTGATCTCAAAAATCAACTGCTTCTAAGACCCAGTTGACAGAATTGTTATTGTTGAGTGGTAGTGGCCAAAATTAATATTTTTTGTGCCTAATCCCCAAAACATAACAGTAAATTTACATAGCGCAGTATTTTAATTATCCAAGGTTTAGTAGTGGACATTAATCTGTAATATTTAAAATCGAAGAGTTGGCGCTTAAAAAGCTAATAGTCACATATCTATATTATTGCCTCGTCTCTATCTTGAAACAGAAAATCTACTGCCAATTCCTTACCAAAGCCTTATGCTCCATTTTTTTTTTTTTCTTCAGAACCTTTTTTATTCTTCTTCTGACCACCAGAGAAGGTCAGCTTGAACCAAAACAAGCTGAAATAGCCTCAGAAGGCCCACCTCATTACACACAACAGGGCAAAACCGGAAGTGAAGCCTCAGTTTTTTTCAGAGCAGACTCAGCATGTATTCTTACACAGGTGTCCACTAAAGACTGATCAACAAAGCACCACCACCACAAACATACAAACTCTGTTGGGGGCTCCCCCGTGTGTCATTCACGGAGTCCGCCTCTTCCTCAGCCATAAGCAAGCCCTTCCTTGTTCTTTTGCGGGGGAAGGTCCTCCGTGCATAGAGCGATAGACCGTTTGTTTACTCTGGAACTTGGAAAGGAAGGTGACTCAACTTATTTCCTCCCCTGCATCTGAGATGCAATCACTTCTCTGAATATCTGAACGGTGACCTGGGGGATAGGTGGGAGAGGGTCCCTCAACAAAGACTCTTCAGGACCAGCCTGTCAGGCTCCTTAAGTACTTAATCCTTTGTTTTTCAGAAACCTTTGCACCTGGGCTCCCAAGGGGCAAGCAGGCCCAAAGGAGCAGCCACAGGCCTGGGAGCGAGCGACCTCTCTGAGCAGTCACGGGGAGGAGGAGGGGGCAGGGAGGGGCGAGGTGGAGATGCAGGGGGACAGAAATCAGCTGAAACACTCCATGCTGGTTCTGACTCACTCCATCTCGTGCAGGAAGCTGTAGAACTGAGGCAAGGTTAATTTTATGTATAAATTTTCCGTTTGGGGCTTCCCTGGTGGCGCAGTGGTTGAGAGTCCGCCTGCCGATGTTTGTGCCCCGGTCCGGGAAGATCCCACATGCCGCGGAGCGTCTGGGCCCGTGAGCCATGGCTGCTGAGCCTGCGCGTCCGGAGCCTGTGCCAACGGGAGAGGCCACGGCAGTGAGAGGCCCGCGTACCGCAAAAAGAAGAAAAAAAAAATTTCCGTTTGATTTCCTTTCTTAACCACCAACTTTAATTGTAAAAACATACTTCCCACTTTTTCCAGTTCTCTACTCCCAGACGTCACTCCAAATGTCCACTCCATATCTACAAGCTGGTTAATCATGAGAGTCTGACCTGTGGTCCATCGAGCAAGGGTGGGAGCATTCTGTTTCCACTTTTCAGAAAAGTAGGTGGCTTTCTCTTCACTGAGACCCAGAGTTATGAAATCAGCCTGGACCTGCTCAGCTGTGAGACTCTTCTTCAAGGCACCATTTGAAATCAGGAGGAGGCTCTTCACGATGCTTCTGACGGGGCCGGGGCTGATTTGCTTGGTGGTGGCAAATTCAGAGAGCTGAGCCAGAAACCTTTCCATCTCTTCTGGCTCAGTGAGGCAGTGGAAGAGCACTTCCTTCAGGGCTGAGAACTTCTGCGCGCCCAGCTGGTTCAGCTGCTGCGCATAGACACCCATGGCCCCGGGCACGGGTCGGGTCCTCTGTGCAGTGCCGGCGGCGCATGGCGTCCGCTCAGCCCCACGGACCCCCAGCTCCCGCGTCTCCCCAGACTTCCTCCTTCACGACGCCCTTCATTTTTTAAATACAAAACAGAACAGGGACTTCCCTGGTGGCTCAGTGGTCAAGAATCCGCCTGCTAGTACAGGGGGCACGGGTTCGAGCCCTGGTTCGGGAAGATCCACATGCCGTGGAGCAGCTAAGCCCGTGTGCCACAACTACTGAGCCTGTGCTCTAGAGCCCACGAGCCACAACTGCTGAGCCCGCGTGCCACAGCTACCGAGGCCACGTGCCGCAACTACCGAGCCTGCGTGCAGTAGCTACTGAAGCCTGCACACCTAGAGCCCGTGCTCCGCAACAAGAGAAGCCACCGCAGCGGAGAGTGGCCCCCGCTCACCACAACTAGAGAAAGCCCGTGCGCAGCAATGAAGACCCAATGCAGACAAATTAATTAAATTTTTTAAAAATCCTCTCTCATCTTTTTGGTAGTCTGGAGTTTCATTGCCTCTGAGGATTACAAACCTACTTGTAGTTTGTTTATTTTTTTCCCCACGGTGGCCGAGTCTTGCCTCAGTACAGACTGTAAAGCAGTAACCACTATTAAAATGTACTTGTTCCAAGCCTTAAACTTGGACTAAGTCAAATTTTTAAAAAGTTTTCTGCCATCCCTCAAGCAACTCCACACATGCACACACACATTTTTTTTTTTAAACCTTTGTTATAGTAGGTCACATTCTCGGAAAAGTACACAGGTTTAACTGCGCAAGCATGGCTAACACCCGTAGCAAGGCACTGAATTCTACTAACGTGCCAGAAACTTCCCTCCCAGTGATGGCTCCTCCCCAAACACCACTGCCTGACTTTTAAACTCTACATTAGCTTTGCCTGTTTTTCTGTTTTTGTTTTTGTTTTTGCGGTACGCGGACCTCTCACTGCCGTGGCCTCTCCCGCTACGGAGCACAGGCTCCAGACGCACAGGCTCAGCGGCCATGGCTCATGGGCCCAGCCGCTCCGCGGCACGTGGGATCTTCCCGGACCGGGGCATGAACACGTGTCCCCTGCACCTGCAGGCGGACTCTCAACCACTGCGCCACCAGGGAAGCCCTAGCTTTGCCTGTTTTTGAACTTAGTAAAAGTATAATCATGTAGTATATACTATTTGGCTTTTTTTAACATTATGAGGTTCATCCACGTGGTTGTAAATTGCAGGATTTAACTCATTCTCTTAACTGTATGGCATGAAGGTCCATGTTTTTATTGAAAGCCCTGCTGTGTTTCCTGACTTGTGCCTGTGATTTTAAGATAATTGTATATTTGCAAGTCATTACCCCTTTTAATTGCCTTAGTATACCTATATATTATCTTCTTGCCAAAAAAAAAAGAGTAATCTCATATTTAAAGATTTTAATGTTGTATAAGCCACTAAATTCTTTAATGAAATACTCAGCCAGGTGTTAGGAGGACTGATGTTATGCCAGTGCTGCCTCTTTTCTTTCTGTCCCCGTTGACTTGTGTTACCACCCTCCCATAATCATGCTGGAGGAACCCAGAGGTAAAGGCAAAAACAGGCCCAGCAGGATAATGGGACTCAGGCCAACTGGTACAGTACAATGGCAGGACTTTCCAGGTTAGGAAAATTGAAAGTATATTGTGTTTCTTCACCCCTAGAATATTAGTAGAGTAACCTCTACCTCTCAATCTCTATTTTTCCTGTGTTTCTGTAAGAAAGACAAGAATTTCCACCATCCTAAAATGTTCTTGTGTTTAGTTGCGTCTGCAGCACCTTTGGTCTCCCCTTGAACTTTTCTACAAAAGAAGCTCAGTGTCAGCCTGGCAATGCCATCTCACTTCATTGCTGGGCTGCCACTGGGTCTGTTATCCTCATTTTACCCTCCCTGAAGCCTTCAAAGGCCCACTATTTAAATTTGCAGTTTTTGTGGTGCGTACAATTTAGAAGATGGCTAGAAGCAATTTTTCTTTTCTTTTTTGGGCACGCCGCATGGCTTGCAGGATCTTAGTTCCCCATCCCAGGATTGAACCTGCGTCCTCAGCAGTGAAAGCGTGGAGTCCTAACCACTAGACTGCCAGGGAATTCCCTTTTTTCTTTTTTTTTCTTTTGTTTTGCAGGCAATTTTTCTTGAAGGAGATCAATATCCTTATTGATTCAGGTGAAAACAGTTTGCTGAAGCCAAGTCAGGAGGGTAATATTTACACAATATAAATGAGATTAAAATCTTTAGTCCTTTACCACTCTGCCTTTTTAAAATTTATTTCACTGTGAAATCTGCATAATAACTCCCTAAATTATATAATATAGAGATGATAAAAAAAATATCCAGTGGTTTATCTCTGCTTTTTTAAAAAACGTAATCCAGGGCTTCCCTGGTGGCGCAGTGGTTGAGGGTCCGCCTGCCGATGCAGGGGACACGGGTTCGTGCCCCGGTCTGGGAGGATCCCTCATGCCGCGGAGCGGCTGGGCCCGTGAGCCGTGGCCGCTGGGCCTGTGCGTCCGGAGCCTATGCTCCGCGGCGGGAGAGGCCACAGCAGTGAGAGGCCCGCGTACCGCAAAAAAAAAAACAAAAAAAAAAACGTAATCCATTGTAAAACCCGCTTATGGACTTCCCTGGTGGTGCAGTGGTTAAGAATCCACCTGCCAATGCAGGGGACACGGGTTTGAGCCCTGGTCCGGGAAGATCCCACATGCTGTGGAGCAACTAAGCCCGTGCGCCACAACTACTGAGCCTGCGCTCTAGAACCTGCGAGCCACAACTACTGAAGCCCATGCACTTAAAGCCCGTGGTCCTCAACAAGAGAAGCCACCGCAATAAGAAGCCTGCGCACCACAGCAAAGAGTAGCCCCCTGCTCAACGCAATTAGAGAAAGTCCGCCGGCAGCAACGAAGACCCAACGCAGCCATAAATTAATTTTTTTAAAAACCTTATAAGGAGACATCTTAAATTCAAAAAGCAGTTATTCCAAATGGCCCAAATTTTAACACTCATTTTAATTTTTAAAGGTAATTTTCATTGCCTAAGTTTTTAAGCAATTGTAAGCTAGTTGCAGAATATGGAAAATAGAGAACCTCTAGGAACTTGAATATTGCTGCTTTTTTTTTTTTAACTGTTAAGATGATTTTCAGTAACCTCTCTTCTACATTCAGTACCCTCTTTTCTTATCCCAAAACTATTGCTCTTGTTAAACTAACATTTCCCAGGGGAGCTTTGCTTAGAGCAGTTCAAGTCAAGAAATCTATGGTCAAGGGAAGTTCTTAGACAAGAGTTACTAATTCATTTTACAACAGCATTCAGTAAACATTTGTTGGTTGTGTCATGTGTGCCAACACCACGCTAGATACTGGTGACAAAATAGTGATCAAATATAGTTCCTGTCCTTAGTTTATCAATTTGACCTCATACCACTCTCTGAAATGTCTGAAGAATACCTACACTCCTGTGGAATAGCTTCCCTGAAGCAGAATGACATGGCAATGTAGTTTTGAGCACTTGTAGAATTATTCTATATTAAATAGATGACAGGTGGATAAGGATCAAGTACGAAAGTTTTCTCTGTGATTTGAGGGTTTGGGGGTAGTTTTTTTTCCCCAAAGGAGAAAAGTATAGGTGGGTAGTACCTCTATTGAGTCTCTAGGAGCAAAATTCACTACATTAGTTCGCTGAATTAGCTTCATTACATTAGTGTAAATTTATTCTAAGTGAAGTCATGTCAGGCTTCTGGTGTTATTGAAAATCCAACATGCTAAAATACAACCTATTTAGTATTTTTATTCCTGGACAAATTTTAATCATGTCAGATAAGAAAGTGCTTTATTTATGCCTCTTCTGCATTTAAAAAAATCACTTTCAAGAAAAATTTAATGTATTACTATGAATAAAATAACACATTTTGGGCTTCCCTGGTGGCGCAGTGGTTGAGAGTCTGCCTGCCAATGCAGGGGGCACGGGTTCGAGCCCTGGTGTGGGAGAATCCCACATGCCGCGGAGCAACTAGGCCCGTGAGCCACAACTACTGAGCCTGCGCGTCTGGAGCCTGTGCTCCGCAACAAGAGAGGCCGCGATAGTGAGAGGCCAGCACACCGCGATGAAGAGTGGCCCCCACTTGCCACAACTAGAGATAGCCCTCGCACAGAAACGAAGACCCAACACAGCAATAATTAATTAATTAATTAATAAACTCCTACCCCCAACATCTTCTTAAAAAAAAAACCCACACATTTTCTCAAAACTCTTTAGATATTAGAATCAACTGAATATTCTGATGTCATGAATGAATAAATAATAAATAGTTCAGGTGGGTTTGTTTAGGTTTTTTTGGTTGTTTAGGGTTTTTTTTGGGGGGGTTAGTAATTTTGAGTATAGCAACAGCACAATAATAAATAATTCAGTTCCTCAGTAAATTTTTCTTAAATTGAGCAAAAAAGAGAGGAAAAAAATAAAGGAAAATGAGTTATAAAAATTTTTATGTTGTCCATTGTAAACTACAGGATTGATAACACACCAGCACATTTTCTCTATTAAAGTAATTAAAGCTCTGATTTCAGGAACTGGAACGAGCATGGAGAGAATATGATAAGTTAGAATACGATGTAACTCTCACCAGGAACCAGATGCAAGAGCAGCTAGATCGCCTTGGTGAAATTCAGGTACAGAATTATAATATTTTTACATTGTTTTAACTGGCTTTGACTAGTACTGTACAACCCATCTTGTTAGCTTCATGCACACCGTTAACAGTTTTTGCATTATTGGCTACCTAGCATCTGGGTTTCAATACTTTCAATGATAGGAATCTTACAATCTCACAAAGTAGCCCATCCCTCACTGTTTAAAAGTTCTTTATCCTATTGGGCACATGGTGAGCCCTAGAGTGTTCTGTGCTCCTAGCTAACTATGTCACTTAGCACTGAAGTGTCAAATTATCTTATCCATTCTATATTAAATCCCTCTCATTTATCAAACCGTTATTTAGCCTATTGTCTTGACTGCTATTTTATTAGAATGGAGGAAGATGCAGCACCATTTGGCATAAAGAATCCAGGTTTGTGAATAGGCAGATATGGAATGAAGTTCCAGGTGTTTGTTTTCTTACCTATAAAGTTGAAATAACAATACCTGTCTTAAAGTGTTGCCCTGAGGGATGGAAATAATACATATTTAAGAAAATAATAAAAGTCACTTTATGCTTGTGACCCTATGTAAATTTGATCATCTGCATTGGAAGCCCAGTAGACTCAACAGATCAATACAACAAATAAAGAGTAAGGTTGACTCATAGAATGTCAACTGTCTTCTATGCGTGCTGTCCAGAATAGTAACCACCAACCACGTGTAGCTGTTGGGCACTTGCAATGTTGCTAGTGTGACTGAGGAACTGAATTTTTAATTATCTAAATTTAAGTAGCCATGTGTGGTTGTGACTTCTGTACTGAACACTGAAGTTACTAAATACAATAGAAAAAAATGGTAAACATCTAAACCTCAACCAAGGGATCAAGAAACTTTTTCTGTGAAAGGCTAGATATTAAATATTTTAGATGTTACAGGTGTATACGCTCTGTCACAAAATCTTTGGTGTTTGGGGGTTTTTAATAACCCCTTAAGATTATAAAATTTATTTTTAGCTCACAGGCCATAAAAAAGAAGTCATGGGCCAAAGCAGTTTGCCAATCCTGATTTAACCTAACAAAAAAAAGCTCATCATGAAAATTTAATTACTATATTATAGGACATAAGAGAAGACCTGAATAAATGGAGAGGTATAATTGCTATACTGTGTTCACGGATGGCCTGATTTAACGTTATCACGATGGAAATTCTTCCCATAAGTACAATTCCATTCCAACCAAATTTCCAGAAAAAATTAACAAAATGATTCTATATTTTTAGGGTATAATAAAGACCACAGTAGTTAGACATTTTTTGAAAAAATAAAGAACTAGGAAACACACCTTATGAGAAGTAGCATTGCACATGTAACCTTAGGCCAGTTACATAACAGCTTTGTACCTCAGTTTCTATAGCTGTAAGATGAAAATAATAATAATACCTACCCCTGTTGGGTTATTATCATGGTTAAATGTGTTGATTTTTTTTGAAGCACTTAGAATAGAACCAGGCAAATAAAACAGACTGTATATATAAGTGTTTGTTAAATACATAAGTAAACAATGAAGACAATATAGAAAACTTGAAAAATGACATACTAGGAAGAAGTGAAGTATCTTTGACCTCTAAAAATTCAACAAGTCACTGTCTAGATTTACAAAGAACTTTTTAATTTGGAGAAACAATGCATTAGAAAAATAGACAAAGAACATGAGTAGTTTTAATTAATGGAAAATTTAACTCACATTGCTAACAAGTGTTTGAAAAGTTGATCAGTGTAACTAGTAACCAGAGAAATCGCAAAATAAAACAAAAATGAGATTTTCATTGTACACCTTTCAGATAGACAAAAATATGTATATTTTTTAAATTAGTGCAAAAGTAATACATATTCTATATGTGCAATTATCTGATTTTTATAGTTTATATTCCCTCCCTATACGTCTTTATCAGTATTCACATCTCAGGGCTGACATAATTGTTACAGTTATCATACTTATTTACCTATTTCTTTTATAGTTATATTCCTAAAAATGATATTTATCATTTTTGTATTTATCAATAAGAGTCATTAGAGTTTTACTAGAATCTTACTAAGATGATCTTATTTTGGCTTCAGTTAGAGTATTTAGCCTAAGGGACATGAACTGGGGTAGTAAAGAAATAACTTTAGGGTAGAGTAAAAATGGCAATAATCAATTTCAAAAACTGAAAATTTGTCCTGCAAATATATTTAACTCTATCAATAAAAACTCTTCAAATTGCCCTTTCTTTTTTTCTTTTTTGGCATGTCTCTATGTTCTAGAACTTAAGAGGCTAAAATACTTCCCTTTTTTCCCCCTAAAAATGTTTTGTTTAGTTTGGGATTTGTGAGTTTCTGATCTGTTGTGTTTTTGTTTTGTTTTGTTGGTTTTGGTTTGGGGGAGGGTTCCGCATTTTTAGTCCCATCTAATCAGTATTCCTTCCTGGGATTGTAAGTAACTCAACACAGTGTGTATTGAAAAGATGTGAAATAGTGTGTGTAGGTCTGAAATATTAAATTTTTCTGTTTCTCTGCTTTTTTTCTTTTATCTTTGCCATTGACATTGCAAAATTGAGAAGGTCACACAAATCGTATTAAATATTCTCAAAACTTAATCCACTGCAATTCTCATTTTTTTAAGTATATAATTAGTGGAATTTATAACTGTATTTAATGATTTTTTCCCCCTGTATGTGGTCTGTCCATTTTTACTGATAGACTGAATCAGCAGGAATTCAGCGTGCACAACTTCAGAAAGAACTCTGGAGAATTCAGGATGTCATGGAAGGACTGAGTAAACACAAACAGCAGAGAGGCACTGCAGAAACAGGTACATTAGCTTCATCTTTTATTCTGCACTTATTGACCATAATAATATATCTAAATGGAATAACACATAGAATTGGATTTCTCTTGTTATTTTAATGGATTTTTGACATTAGAAAACAGGCACTTTGTAATATTGAATCAGTACCCAAGTTTATATATAATATAGAAGGCAAAAGTTTTACCAACCACACTCACACAAAAATGAGTCATTGTTTTGTGTCTGTAATTATAAATGCACACAGTGTTTTGGTTTGGGGAGTTTTTTTCCCACAACAGAAAATGTTGTTTTTCATCAATATGTTTTTTTCTCCTTAACAATACAATACAATAACAGCTGTGTAAGAATCATTGTATAGGTGAACTATAATTTATCCATTTCGGTGTTGATGAACAATGTAGGTTGCTTCCAGGTTGTTGGGTGGGTGGGTGGGGTTTTCTGTTTTTCTTTCATAAGCCATTATGTAATGAACATTACTGTGTACATAATAAACACACCTGCTAGTACTAATGGGTTCTAGGAAATGGGAAATAAGTGCACATTTTTCATTTTGATATGCACAGCCAAATTGCTCTCCTAAAAGATTATATCAAATCATACTTAAACCAGTAGTATTTGAGAAAACCCATTTCCCCATACTCTTGTTTATATTAGATATTTCAGTTTGTATTTTTTAATGTATTGGGGTTTTTAAAATATATTTTATTGAAGTGTGGTTGATTTACAATGTGTTAATTTCTACTGTATTGCAATGTAATGGGTTTTAAATTCAGAAAACAAATGAGGGGTTAGAAACTAAAGGCTTTGTTTAAAATAAATGAAATTGTTCCTTTTTTCTGTAGATTTAGGAAGATATGTTTAGTGTAAGTAGTTATATTTTACAATTTTTTTAATAGGTATGATAGGATCAAAGCCTTTCTCAACAGTTAAGTACAAAAATGAGGTAAGTTTGAATTGTTTCTCTAACTATAAATTAATTTATAATTAAAACATGAATTAGAATTTACTCATAACAAAAATGTTTTCTAAATATGTTTGAGTTACTGTTTTGATCTTGAAATTTTGCTGGTTCAGTAATTTGGTTCTTCTAACAAATGTGATCTTCTTCCCTTTTCTTAATGGAAAAAAAAATTGAATCACTACTTCTCATCTATGTTAGAACTTTAACATTGTCATACTTTTTCTAATATAAGTAATTTGAGTATTTATTTATCATTGTTTGGTATGATAAGTTGGCTGTGTATCATGCATACCATAAAGAAATGACAACTACAAAGAGATACTGTCAACCTAGTTGAAAGCATCTGTGGTCTTGAATTTTGTATAAAAGCCAATCAAAAAGAAATGTTCTTTCTTTTCTCTTAAAAATTAGCAAAACAATACAGAGTGAGTTTTTTTTAATGAATTCTTTCCTTTTATTTTTAAAATGAAATACAGTAGTTTCATACATTTGTTTTGATGTTGAGCTTTAGAGTAAAGCTAACCTGTGTGTTACAGAAAAAATTAAATGCAGTCAAATTTAAAACCCAGTTATTGGCTATCATAAACATTTTTTTGTTTTACTTTTTAATATGAGACTCTTGGCTTGGCAGTGTCCCTTTAATTATCTTAAAGTGAATGTAAGTTAACTTACCATTGCAAAGAATTTCGATATACTTAATTCAATATGCTTATCTAAATAAGGTGACTATTCTACAATCTTTAGGAAGAGGAAGTAGTCCCACCTCGTCCTCCACTTCCTCGGTCCTATGACTTTACAGACCAGCCTCCCATAATCCCCCCTCTGCCCAGTGATAGCAGCTCCTTGCTCTGTTATAGCAGGGGCCCAGTCCATCTGCCCGAAGAAAAGAAGATTCACCAAGTTCAAGGATATCCAAGAAATGGATCTCACTGTGTAAGTGGCTGCAATAGCCACAGAATAATCAATCGTACATGCCCTCATTTTTCAAACTTAATTTATTTTAGACTCAAACTTTTTTTTATTATAACACCACTTTTAGCCAGCACTTTTTTGTTCATATATAACATTATCATTTGTTTTTCCTGTTTTAGTTTTACCATTCTTATTTTGTAATATTTTCACAATTCTAATAAAATTTCATAGTTTCTGCTTTTCATGAATATTTTGATAAAGTGGTTACTTTATGTGCCTGTGTTTAAGGAGCCATATTTTAAATATACCATTTCAGGATATTAGAAGCAAAATGATATCTTTAGATCAGAAAGACACAAGGAAAAGAAGATTCTTACCAGGAATGATCAAAAGGTTGGGATGTGGGCAGTTCAGTCTAGGAAAACTGTTAGAGGATGTGGACATTGCCAAGGAAAGACATTACCCATGGAAACTGGAAAAAAGGAGTTTGGGGATTAAACAAATAAATGTAAAATGTAATAAGCAAGGAGAAGAGAACAAGGAGAAAAGGAATAGGGCTAATTGAGTTAATATGATATAATTATTTTTAGACTTTAGTTTTACTGATGACTTTGTCCCTAAGAGGAATATTCTTAATTTTAAAATCAAAAGATATGCTGGTTAAAAATCTTTTATAAAGTCTTTTTTTCTACCCTAATTGTAACATATATATTAATTGTGTTATACCCAAGATAGCTGACTGAGGCTCTTAATTGTTAAGAGTGTGAGTTCTTAGAGATAAACATTTTAAAAGAGACTTTTGCCTTTTTGTGTGTGTTTGTGTGTGATTACATATCTTCCTTTCAAGGGTCCAGATTATAGACTCTACAAGAGTGAACCAGAGTTAACAACAGTGGCAGAAGTTGATGAGTCTAATGGAGAAGAAAAATCAGAATCTGTTTCAGAAATGGAAACTTCTGTTAAAGGTCAGCATTTGAGATATGTTTTATCTCCTGCATTTTTCAGACACCTTAGAAATAAATTTAGTTTATATGTTGACACAGTACATATACAAGTCCACAGTCCCTCATCTGAAACCCTTGGAATCTGATGCGTTTCTGAATTTAGAAGTTTCAGGTATTGGGAAGATAACATGACCCATAAACCACATATCAACATGTCATCTCTCTCTGCTGAGACAAATATGGCAAAATGTGGGATTTTTCAGAAAAGTAATTTCTGATCATAACCCACTAGTCAATTTTTTTTTAATAATCTGCTAAAGGGTCATAAAGTAAAGCTTGAAAAATAGTAAGTGGTAATATTCACATAGCTTTTTCCATAATTGGAATATCCTTCTAGGTTTTCTAATGCTGGGTTTTGTGTTGTTGTTGTTTTGGGATTTTTTTTTAATTAGAAAAATACTGCCATCTTGAAAACTTAATATTTATATGCCTTTCTCATTCTCATCCAAATCATACCTTTTTCTCATTGAAAGTCTTTGTTAACTTTATCTTTTCATACACAGATGTAAGTGAAACAGTCATAGTCTTCGTCCTTACCATATTCATGCATATAATTATAAATATGCAGGAAATATCAGACTGCACACAAAAGTAAATGTTTTTGGCAAATAGGTAACTAGATACCTGGCCAATCCTCCACAGATTATAAATGCTGGTTCATATCATTTTAAATATTTTTGAGACGCTTCAACAAGTTGCGGAAAAGTAAAGAGAGGGATGTTCAGGCCAAAAATTATATGAAGGGTAGTGCATTAGTCTGCTCAGGCCGCCATAAAAAAAATACCATAGACCTAGTGGTTTAAACAACAGAAGTTTATTCTCACAGTTCTGGAGGCTAGAAGTCCCAGACCAAGTTCTGAGAGGGTTTGGTTTCGGGTGAGGACTCTTTTCCTGGCTTGTAGATGCTGCCTCCCTCACATGGCCTTTCCTATGAGTGCCTGTAAATTCTCTGGTATCTCATTTTATAAGGACACTAATCTGTGGGGGCCAAGGCCCCACCCTTATGACCTCATTTAACCTTAATGACCTCCTTTTAATCCCCATCTCCAAATATAGTCACATCAAGAATTAGGGCTTCAACAGGAATTTTAGGAGGACCAATTCAGTCCATAGCAACAGGCATCCAGGAAGTAAAGTGGAGCATGAAAGCCAGCTTTCACCTTGTGACAGGACAAAGCTCAGAGCATGAACAAATTAGGAGTCTGCTAGGAGACCCCCTCAAATAAAGCTGGGGCCCTCTGAGGGCTATACTCTCAGTGAAAACTGATTAACTCAATTTCATCAAAATTTAAAACTTTTGCCCATCAGAATGGAAGAAAATATTATCAGTACATATACCTTACAAAATCCTTGTATCCAGAATATATAAATAACTCTTACAAATCAGTAATAAAGATAAACAACCCAATAAAAAAGTAGGCACGGGCTTCCCTGGTGGCGCAGTGGTTGAGAGTCCGCCTGCCGATGCAGGGGACACGGGTTCGTGCCCTGGCCCGGGAAGATCCCACATGCCGCGGAGCACCTGGGCCCTTGAGCCATGGCCGCTGAGCCTGCGCGTCCAGAGCCTGTGCTCCGCAATGGCAGAGGCCACAAACAGTGAGAGGCCCGTGTACCGCAAAAACAAAACAAAACAAACAAACAAACAAAAAAGGCAAAAAAAGCCTTGGAGAGTTAACAAATCAGGTATACAAATGGCCAATAAGCACATGGAAAAGCTTAAAACTTATTAATCACAAAAGAAATGCAGTTTTAATGCAAATAAAAATCACATTTCACACCTTCTAGAATGGCTAAACTTGAAAGACTGACTACCTAGTGCTGGTTAGGATGTGGGACAATTGGAATTCACACACATTTCTGAGGTGGTGTAGGATGGAACAATAGTTTGGCAGTTTCTCATAAAGTTAAACATGCAGTCATCATAGCCAGGAATTCTATATATTTACCTAAGAAAAATGGAAACATAATCCCTCAAAAGACTTATACAAGGGTTTTTATAGCAGCTTTAATTCATAATAGACAAAAACTGGAAGCAGTCATATGTCTGTCAACAAGAGTACGGCTAAACAGGTTGTAATACTTCTCAGCAAAAAACTGATAGATGTATTTAGTCATAACAATGATATCATCTGAAATATGTTCTGTAATATGGCTTGAATTCTTCCTGGAAGTTTTTCCTCTTTTAAATTTTGGGTTTTTTTTTTTTTTTTGGTATATAATCATAAGCTCTCATCTAATAAATTGTCTGAAGTGTACAGATCGATTACAGTGTAATTTATTTTGTACCACATGACTTAAAGTCGGGCTTTTAAAAATGGACCACTGACTAGCATAGTAGAAGGCTTTTCTTTATTTGAACTGTAAAAATTACTTGTAATACATCAGTCAAGCTCTTCACATTCTCAAATATACAACTGTAATAAGCACAGAGTTCATAAACAATATTAAAACTTCATTAAGCTGCAGATTGTTTGGTTCATAACCTAAAGGGGCCCTGAATGATTGACCACCATTTGTCTTTGGGGGGAAAATAAGATTTCATTTTTCTACTTAGTTAATGTAACTTTAATGAGCCCAAAGAGAATGATTTTTTTTTTCAGCAAACTGTTGAGATTTGAATAGTTTCTTATTTTACTTGTGTCCTCAGTGGACAATAGTGTATATATTCTGCTTACACAAGATGACTGTGGTACAGATGAATACATTTTATGTGAACTGATCATTAGCTTTTATTGTTGTGTTAATGATTTTGTGTGTGTGTATTGTTTGTTTTCTAATTATAAAAGTAGTGTGTGTTCATTTTAGAAATTTTTCAAAAATGCAAAAGTAAAAGTAACTTCAATTACCTATAGTCAACTATTGTTAACATTGTTAGTGGATTCTTTATTGAGGTGGTGCAGTGTGATTGAAAGAGACCAAATGGGAATTAAGGACATTTAGGTAAATCACTTAACCCTTCTGGCCATAACTTTCCTCATCTCTGTGAGAGGATTAGATTAAGGTACTTTTAACCTCTGAAAATATTGTAAATACTTCACGAAGAAGCAGAGCAACAAGGGAAAACGGGCCAAAGCAGAAGCTCTAGCCATGCTGCTGCTAAGCTATATGTACTTGAGGAAGTCAGTTAACCCAGATTCTGCACTTCATTTACCTTCTTTTTTTACAGGGCTGTTGTGAAGATATATGATCCACTGCGTATCATTAAATTTTATAATTTTTTTAATGTCATCTGTTATCATCAGTAGAACTTTATTTCTAAAGCTAACCCTAAATTTGTCTGGTTAGTATCATTGCTGGCTTATTAGGTAAAACAAGTAACAAAAGGTTATTACATTTCCCTGTCTCTTCTCAAACGATACATTTATTTGCCTTCTGATTTTAAAAGCCTCAGAGAAAGTTGTTGTTGGCTTAAGTCAGCAGAGCTCCATTAGTTACCTCCTGATTTTATAAATGCTTTATTGTTATCCAGACAGTTTTTAATTCCCCATCTCCTACAGTATGCTATGCCTCTTCAAAAATAATATTTTTCTTCCTCATCAACATGTAGGGGCACATATTCATTCTCCAAGTCACTTAGACTTCATGGTAGGAAATATACAAATTTCATGTGGTAAGAACAAAAATCAGACCCATCTAAATACCAGGATAGTTCCTGAAAAGCAAAAATCGTACACTATTTAAAAGCCTCAGAAATTGAATATGTCCAAATAAAGCCATGTCATGGGAAGATGTTTTGTAGAACTTAATGCTGTTTTTATTTTTAGGTTCCCACTTTCCTGTTGGAGTAGTCCCTCCAAGAACAAAATCACCAACACCCGAATCTTCGACAATAGCCTCATATGTAACTTTAAGGAAAACTAAGAAGATGATGGATTCAAGAACGGTATTTAATTATACATTAATTTCCAGAAGGATTCTCAACCTATTTATTGCCACCTTGTATATGTTTTAATTTTTAGAGGTTTCTTTTCAAAACTTTTTTTGGGGGGCCACACCACACGGCTTATGAGATCCTTCCCCGACCAGGGATGGAACCTGTGCCTGTGCCCCCTGCAGTGGAAGTGCGGGGTCCTAACCACTAGACCTCCAGGGAATTCCAATCAGAATTGTTTTTTACATACTCTGAAGAAAAATTTAGTAATCTTAATTTTTTAAATTACATTCAGGGAATGAGCACCTCAGAGGACAGGCCTAATCTAGGTTTTCTTTGCTCAGACTCCACATGTGGTCTTTGGGGCACAATTTGTGGAATCTGTTCTCAGATAGCTGCCCTATGTTACCTCTCCTGACACCTCTAAAAATTTCCTTAGGAGAGTGATAGACATGTGCTGTGGTCACCCAAGCTAGTGGACTTCCAAGCCAGCCTGAGTTTGCAGGGCCTTTCCGCTGCAGTAGACTTGGAGTTTGCCAATCCTCTGGTTACGATGAGCAATGTGAATTGAGAATGAGAAGCAAATCCTGTACTTCACACTTTCATCAGAGATCCATTTAATTCAGACTGACTTTTAACCAGTCTAATCTTGGTCTTCTTGGGAAGATTCTCAAAGGATTTAACTCCCTTTCCCCAAGTACTCTCTAGAAATTTGGGCTGCAAAAGAAATTTTACTTTTTAATCTTTATAAGTTCTATTTATTTTGGTGTGAGATAACTTAAAACTATAAGAAAAGACTGAAAGGTACAACAAATGATAAGATTTATGATTATTCTTGAAAGATATTAAAGTATGGTACAAAGTATATGCCAGAAATTCTGACAGATTTATATATATAAGAAATATAATGGTCCTGTAATACTGCTGTTCATAGAGTTAGGCATTTTTTAGTTTAAAAGGATGTTTTCTTTGGAAGTTATAATGTGAAATAAGGCAACAGAAAAAAATCCTTTAAAAATGCATGTTGAGATCAAACAGAAAGATATTAGTGGATTTATATTATTCTGTAACTATCTTTTTTTTTAAATAACTATCTTTTTTTTTTTTTTTTTTTTTTTTGTACGGGGGCCTTTCACTTTTGTGGCCTCTCCCTTTGCGGAGCACACGCTCCAGATGCGCAGGCTCAGCGGCCATGGCTCACGGGCCTAGCCGCTCCGCAGCATGTGGGATCTTCCCGGACCGGGGCACGAACCCGTGTCCCCTGCATTGGCAGGCGGACTCTCAACCACTGCGCCACCAGGGAAGCCCTAAAATAACTATCTTAAATACTACAAGAAAGACTTCTATATAACCAAACACTGGGGGGAAAGTATAGACGACTAGGTACCTAATATTGTACCGGAAAGTCCTTTATAAGCAATACAGATACCAGAAGAAAATACTTGCAGTATAACAGACAAGTTTCATAATATTTGAGGAATTAATATAAATCAGTTATTTTTAGGGTTTTTTAAAATGGAAACCATGTAACAGTAATTCACAAAAATATGAAAATTGCTCAACACTGATAATCATTTTTAAAGTGCTAGCTAAAACCCCATGAGATACTCTTCTCCAGTTATACTGGCAAAAAGATCTAAAAATTAATAATATCTGGCATTTTAAAAGAATAAATAGATTTGTACAATATGATAACTTGGAAAAGGAAGTTTCAGTGAGACAACACTTTTGCACAAACACAGAAAAACCAGGAAGAATACATGTTTGTTGTTACTAAAAACAAAAGGAGGGCTTCCCTGGTGGTGCAGTGGTTGAGAGTCCTCCTGCCGATGCAGGGGACACGGGTTCGTGCCCCGGTCCGGGAAGATCCCACATGCCGTGGAGCGGCTAGGCCCGTGAGCCATGGCTGCTGAGCCTGCTTGTCCGGAGCCTGTGCTCCGCAACGGGAGAGGCCACAACAGTGAGAGGCCCACATACCGCAAATAAATAAATAAATAAATAAATAAAAGGAAAGAGTGCTAAAGTAGCCAACTTCCCAATCAGTATCTAGAATTTACCTTTATTTAAAAAAATTTTTTCACAAAAGCAAATGCTTTGTTTCACAAATGAGAAGCATCATTTCTGCACTCTAAGGCTTTTCATTTTTCATTTTCCTTTCAGTTTCTACGTGAGCTCTTCAGGATATTCTATACAATAGAAAACAGTTCTAGATCTGTAGCTACTGCCCTGCAGACACATTTTAGATTGCAGTGGAGAGAAGAGGACCTTGGCCGTTATCCTGACATACTGCTTAGTCACGGAAATACTTACCTCTGCCCTGGGTTCTTTCCAAAACACCAGCAACTCCACCAATGTCTCAGTCAGTTCCCAGCAGTTCAGTCCAGAGGACACAAAGAAACCTATGCATTCTATTCTGTAGATCTTAGAATATGTTTAATCTCTAAAATTTCTATTATATAAAATAAGCTAAAATTTCCTTATGACAGTTATTGATATACTTATTTTGGATCTCATACCAATATTGTTTTATATCTTTAGTAAGAAAGTGAGAAGAACTGGTTGTTTAATGTGACTAATATTTTTAAACCCTTCAGTAAACCATAAAAATGAGTCATGTAGGGCTTCCCTGGTGGCGCAGTGGTTGAGAGCCCGCCTGCTGATGCAGGGGACACAGGTTTGTGCCCCAGTCTGGGAAGATCCCACATGCCGCGGAGCGGCTGGGCCCGTGAGCCATGGCCACTGAGCCTGCGCGTCCGGAGCCTGTGCTCCGCAACGGGAGAGGCCACAACAGTGAGAGGCCCGCGTACCACAAAAAAGAAAAAAAAAGAGCCATGTAAATGTATATATGTATATAAAATATAACCTTCTGATTTATAGAAAATAGATTCTTCCATAGTTTTTCATGAACTAAGGATGTTTTCTCTACCAGTCTTTTCACAGTAAAAAATGTGTGACTTGAAACATTACATTTTTAGTATAATAAAAGAAATTGCTGATTTTTAGAAGCTATGCCCCCTGTTTTCTCCTAGTTTGAGTTTTATACAATTTCCTATCTCAGGGCCGTGGGGTAGGGTCACTCCAGAGCTGCCATACTTTTTTGTATTTTGTTTTTAAAAACAAGCAAATCCCCTCCTTAAGTTCCTCTTCTCTCCCCTCCCTCCTACCTCTTCTCTCTCTCTCTTTCCATCGCTGATCCTGCATCAGTGCATGCATAAAGTAATCTGCCGTTCTGGTGTTATCTAAATGACATCCAAAACCTCCACTTTAGATTTTGCAAACAAAGTAAATGCATTGCAGGACATTTTTTATTCTAACATACTTTTCAGAAATTATCCTGTCTTCAGATATTCATCTGTTTGTTTACTTTCAATTTAAAGGAAAGACCAAGAAGTGCAGTGGAACAGCTCTGTTTGGCTGAAAGCACTCGACCTAGGATGACTGTGGAAGAGCAAATGGAAAGAATCAGGAGGCATCAACAAGCATGCTTAAGGGAAAAGAAAAAAGGATTAAACATTATTGGTGCTTTAGACCAGTCACCCTTACCAAGTCCTTCAAATTTAAGGGATAATCCATTCCGGGTTACCCAGGTATATCAATTGCTTTTACTCATTCTTGTGGGTAAATCTAATATCACTTGAATCTTAGAATCGTAGAGTTACATGGTTGACGGGCTTTTAAATGTCAGCAACATGGATAGTTATATTATTCAGCTCTTATAATATGCCAGGACAGCTTAGTAAAATGGAAATAGCCCTGGGTTCAGAAAACCAGAGCTAAATTACTTGTTGGATACCCTCCTATACGTTGTGGACTTAATCTCCTCTACTGTAAACCAAATAAAGATACAACCTGTCCTATCTACTTCATGGAGATAGTAAGAAGATAAAAGTGCTTTCAACAAATGTAAAATGCCATGCAGGTTAGCAGGATGGTCCCCAGTTCCCCTCCCAATGAAATGTGTATTACTCTGTATACTAATTTAGCATGACCTAAATTGTAGCGAGAGGGTTTCTAAAGAAAAGTTCTACTATTCATTACACTTTAACTTCAGTCTTATAAAGAGACACCATTCTGTTTCTTATTACTTATTTGTTTGTTTGTTACCCTGATTCTGTTGTTTTTCATAAGGAAACCTCCTTGCAAGTGAAGAACCAACTTTAAAAAACAAAAAATTAATAGGTACTATCTAAAAACTGTGCATGACCGTATAGTATGAATCTAAAAATGCTGTCTATCTGTTGAACAGACTCGAAGGAGGGATGATAACCTTAAGGAACTGGATGCCGTCATTAGAGAAAATGACGTGAAGCCAAACCATGAAACTCCTGCCGCAGAAACTGTTCGACTAAAAGAAGCTGAACCTCAAAATACAGATTTCAGCGAAGAGGTAGAGAGATTATTTTAGGACAGATGTTACAAAGGGGTGGATTTTTGAAGATAAGATCAAGTGAGAAGGTTGAAAATAGTTACGTGTCATTCTGTCACAGGGGCTATATAGATCTTACTGAAATGATAGGCTTCGTATAATTTGATTGATGTATTCAGCCACAACAAAAACTGGGTTAATTGAAAACTTAAAACATGATCAATCAAGGCTGGAATAAATTATCATTAACCCAATTAAAGAATCTTATATCCCAAAGCGGCTAGCTAATGGCAATGTACCTTTTATCCTAGTAGCAAAGGACATTAATTTTTTTTTAGTGTTTTTTTTTAATTTTTGAATTTTATTTTATTTATTTTTTATAGGACATTAATATTTTTAATGCACTTGAATATAAATTTATATTTCAGTAAATATTTGATAGGGTATGGGTTTTTTAATAAACTTTATTTAGGAATCATTTTAGATAATTCACTAATATATTAAATGTGGTAAAAATGATTTGAAAAAGAGAATTTTTCTTCTTCTATAGTTTAAAAAAACTGAAAAGGCTTTTTCCGAAACACTTTTCACACCTGAGCCAAATGGAGTAAATTCTGAGGAAGTGGTGGATAAAGAAGAAAACAAAGAAAAGATGCCCAAAGATGTTCCATACAGGTAATAATTAGGAAAAACAAACAAAGGAATCATTCACAAAATTGTATACCTGCTTAAAAATGGTAAACTTCAGAGTCAGAGGTCTTGGATTCCAGTCCCAGAATATCTCTTACGAGCTGTAGGATCTTGAACAAGTTACACAACTGTCATGGTTCCTCACTTGTAAAAATGAGGATAATAATCGTATCCATCTCACAAGTGTATTATAGGGATTAAATAAGAAAATATGTGTATAGCACTTAGCACTGTGCTAAACACCTAGCAAGTGATCAATAAATACCTTTTTTAAAAAAATGCCAGAGGCACACAAGCTACAGCAAAGTAAGCACCTCAGCGTTGCCTGTATAATGACAGACATTGATCAGATATCTAAGATGTCTGATAAGCATTCCAAACATTATAGTGATTTGCCATTTATTTTTTAACTGTATTTCTTAACTAGCATTTTTAAATGCATATCCTCAGTCTCACCATCCATAAAAAAATTCCTAGTGCTGGAAAAGAGGAATGCTGTGATCTCATGTTATTAGGAATGCCTTTATCTCTTCAATGAATAGCAAGAGGGAACTTGAAAAATATTTGGCGATAGCTGATAAGAAAAAAATCTCTGCTGAACTTTTGTTAATAGACATAGATTAAAACACATCCAGTATATTACAAATCTGTGAGTTCATAATGATAACAACAACAACAAAAAATAATTTGTTGGCCCCTTCAGAAGATGCTAGGGAATCGACTTATTGTTCCAAAACCTGGTACATAAAGAGAAAGAAGTAAACATTTATCTTACCTTTCCCAAACAAACTGCAACCAGAGAGTTTATGAGGAAACTCTTCTTTATTAGAAAAATTTCACTCAATAAAGAATGAGAGGGCTTCCCTGGTGGTGCAGTGCTTAAGAATCTGCCTGCCAATGCAGGGGACACGGGTTCAAGCCCTGGTCCGGGAAGATCCCACATGCCGCGGAGCAACTAAGCCCGTGCGCCACAACTACTGAGCCTGTGCTCTAGAGCCCACAAGCCGCTTCTGCTGAGCCCGCGTGCCACAGCTAGTGAAGCCGGCGTGCCTAGAGCCCGTGCTCCACAACAAGAGAAGCCCGCGCACTGCAACGAAGAGTAGCCCCCACACGCCGCAACTAGAGAAAGCCTGTGCACAGCAACGAAGACCCAATGCAGCCGAAGATAAATAAATAAATTTTTTTTTTAATTTACTTAAAAAAATAAAAGAATGAGAGACTTTGGGACTTCCCTGGTGGTCCAGTGGGTAAGAATCCACCTTCCAGTGCAGGAGACATAGGTTCGATCCCTGGTGGAGGAACTAAGATCCCACATGCCGTGGGGCAACTAAGCCCACGTGCTGCAACTACGGAGCCCACGTGCTCTGGCGCCCGCACACCACAACTAGAAAGCCCACGCACCACAACTGCTGAGGCTGTGCGCTCTGGAGCCCCCATGTGCCACAACTAGAGAGCCCACACACTGCAATTAAGACCCAACGCAGCCAAAATTTAACTAATTAATTAAAAAAAAAAAGAATGAGAGACTTAGAATATCACTGCTTTGCTAAAACCCTATTAAAATAATGGATGAACAATATTCCTCAGTGCTGCTAAAGCTGTTAGCTAGAAAAATATTTTGTTTTGTTTTTTTTTAAGATTTTTTTTTATGTGAACCATTTTTAAAGTCTTTATTGAATTTACTACAATATTCTGTTTTATGTTTTGGTTTTTTGGCCACGAGGCATGTGGGCTCTTAGCTCCCCGACCAGGGATCAAACCCACACCCATTGTATTGAAAGGTGAAGTCTTAACCACTGGACTGCTAGGAAAGTCCCCTGATCATTTTTAACATCAGGAAAAGAGACAGACTATTAATGCAGTAGTGCAAGACACCCACCTAATAGAGTATTACTTACCTCCTTTCCCCCAAAACCTAAGTCTGATCAAGCCTAAGAATCGTATCAGTTTATAAAAAATATGAGGGATACAGTCATCAAAATCCAGAAATGTAGTAAATTATTGGACAGATAAACCAGGTTCTTTCCTAAATAAATGACAAAGAATAAAACGGGTGTGTGTGGTGGTATATTTTAAAGTAGACTTTAAGGGACTTCTCAGGCAAATACAGTGTATGGACTTTGTTGTGTGGATCCTCATTCAAACAGATAACTCTAAGATGATATTATGAGGCAATCAGGATCATTTGAGCATTGACTGGATATTTGATGGTATTTACAGACTGAATGATATGTCTGGAATCTGCTTTAAAATAATTTGGGGAGGACTTCCCTGGTGGCACAGTGGTTAAGAATCCACCTGCCAGTGCAGGGGACACGGGTTCAAGCCCTGGTCCTGGAAGATCCCACATGCCGCAGAGCAGCTAAGCCCGTGTGCCACAACTGTTGAGCCTGTGCTCTAGAGCCCGCGAGCACAACTACTGAACCCGTATGCCACAACTACTGAAGCCCGCGCACCTAGAACCCATGTTCTGCAACAAGAGAAGCCACCGCCATGAGAAGCTCACGCACCACACCGAAGAGTAGCCCCCGCTCGCAGCAACTAGAGAAAATCCGTGTGCAGCAACAAAGAACCAATGCAACCAAGAATTAATTAATTAATTAATTTAAAAAAATAATAATCATCATTTGGGGAGTAGGGGGCTGAGGGTTTAGAATGAAACAAGATTGGCAAAATGTGGACAAAAATGCCAACAAAATGTTAGCAATCGTTAAGTACAGATGGTGACATCTTTTCTGTATAGTTAAGATTTTTCATAACACTAAGTTGGAAGAAAAAAAATTAATTGCATTCTAAAATAACGAACTTTAAAATTTCCATCTATTTTCATTAGCCCTCAAGATGAGTCACAGATCTCAAATCATAAACCAGAAGGCCACCCTGAAGAAAATACAAAGGACAATATTCATGAGCAGGAAGAAGCTGTTATTTCTTATGAACTAACTCCTGAGGCTTCTAGAGGAAGTCAGACAATGGCAGGTAGATATTACGTTTCCTAATTTTCTTACTGGTGCTTCCTCTGAACCTCTGAATTTATTTGCCATGTGGAGACTCTAGCAAGGGAGCCACGCAGGGACATCAACCGCAGACCAAGCAGCCTTTGCCTTCCCACACTTGCACCGTCAGGAGGGGTGCAGTTGCACCAGAGCACAGGGCCAGCCCTGCGTGAGCAGCTAGATCTGCCCTCTCTCCTGTCTTGGGCGTCACTTCCTTCTCTTTGTTTTGTTTTATTTGTTTTTTTAATCTGAACCTTTACACATACCTTAAACTTTTTTCTAAGAAGAAGATCTTTTAGTACTTTTCTCTGACGCTGGATTCTCAGAGTATTCATAGGCCTACCCCTTTGGGAACTGTGGAAGATTGAATATCTACACTAGTAGAATGGATTTACTTACTTAGCTCCTACTATAATCCACATCTGGGTTTTTCTTTGGTAGTGGAAGATCATGATCCATAGCATGTTAAGAAAAAATAAAATGTTCTGTACTATTCTTTTATACTTTCTGGATTCTTCACACATCTTTTTTCTTTTTTTTTTTTCTTTATGACTTTTGCCAAGGGATGGGGGTAGGGGAATCATCCCACTAGTGTAATGTATCAGTTTTGCATCTCATAGTCCATAAACAAAAAGCTATCCCTAGTAATTCTTTCTCCTCCCCCCACCCAACTCCGCCTCCAATCATTTTGCAGAAGGGTAAGTCCAATGAAATTCAATTATGCAGACTGTTCTTAAGAGCATTTTCTGTATCTTATATACATATAACATGGAAATTTATATCATCAGCCATGTTCCTTTGTAACCAGTATGAAGCACTTTTTCCTTTGCCTCTTATCACTCACAAGGCAATGTGTACAGGAATTCTCACTTTCTTTAAAAATTGTCATTGATCACATTCGGTTATTATGATGCCAAGTCTGTGTTAAAGGTTGTGTGGGTGTATTAAAACCACAAAATTTATACCATCTGCAGTATTTAGCTTCATGCAACTAGAAAAGCTTTTAAAAATGAGACCCAACAGGGGTGAGTCACTGATATACACCTGAAAATTAACCTTGAAGCCCCCCCCAAAAAAATTTTTTTTAGTTTTTTCCCAGTTTCATTGAGATATAATTGGCATATAACATTATATAAGTTTAAGATGTACATGGAAAAAGAATTTTTAACCGGTCTTCAAGAGACATTTCATACTGAGTAATCAGTTGCCAGAATAACAAAAACCAGCCGAAATGCAGCTAAGAATTCCTTCCCGACACACGTTCTGCGTTGGGCATCGCAGCGTCAGGATTTCCTTCTCCGAAGGTGTCTCCAGGATTTTGATCTCATCACGTTTTCTCGATGTGTTTTAGTGCAAAGCCTGTCCCCGTCTCCCGAGTCCTCAGCATCACCCGTTCCGTCCACTCAGCCGCAGCTCACAGAAGGCTCACACTTCATGTGTGTGTAGTCTCAGAACAAGTACGTCGTTTCCTTTCATTTTCGTGCTTTACTGTTAGAGCTTTCAGCCTGACTTTTGTTGATTTGGTGAACAAAAACTGTGATGAATTCCGACCTGTGCATTAGGGATAGTTAGCAGAGCAAGTGTTTGAACCACGGGCAGTAACTCAAAATTTCCAACATCAGCCCTTCAATGATTTGCTACGTAACAACATTTTCTCTGTCTCTTCTTTCATCATCCATCAAAACAGCTAAACTTGGAGGGGAGGTTTTGCAGTGTTTTGCAGCTGTGCTCCCACCTAACAGTTTCTTTCCACAGTTGGGTCTGAGAATTCTGTTCAAGTCGTTACATTTTGATACAGAAATGTTTTTTACATTCAGCGTGACCTATCTACCACACTGGGAGTTTGCTAATTATTTTTAAGGATAAAGAAAAGTTTATGGTACAGCCAACTAGATACGGAATGTAAAATCTTTAAGAGCCATCGAAATTATTTCTAAATAATAATTTTTTTTAAGTCAGGGAGGTAACTTTTTTTTTTTTTAGGTAGGGAGGTAGCTTTTAAAAAAGCCACAGGTGGGGGCAGGGAGACAGGGCCTTTCTCAACCAGTGTTCCTTAGACCACAGTTTTAGAACCACAAATAATTTCCTAAGGTGGGGCCTTTCTCAACCAGTGTTCCTTAGACCACACTTTTAGAACCACGAATAATTTCCTAAGGTGTCTTACTTTTAAACTTTATCAACAATGGCTAAATTTTACCTCAGTTTTGTACTTACATACTTTTTTTATTTTTCAGAAAAGCTGTGAGGTATGGAGTGAACATTTTATGCCTTTTTCTGCACTTTTTTTCTCAGTATCTACCAGATCTTCTAATGTTTGGTGCCTTCGGATTATCACCAATTTCTGTTAAACAGTTATAAGCTGAGAAAACACCTACAGACATTATGAGCACGGCTACAAACATGTTCTTTGATTTTTAGGTACTCAAATGAGTACAAATACCAACTTAGACTAAGTTTTTCATCCAGTAGTGCTCATTTTCTAGCATCTACGTCCATTCACACCTTTTTGTAGCAGCTATAATCTGTGTCCCTTTATTTCAGCCAGAGGATTTATGTTTAACTGTCTTGTCATTTCTGTAACTTTTATTTGAGATCACGTCTGTCTGGAGCCTAAAAGAGGCTTTGTTTGTTGTCACTTGGTATCTCTTTAGGACTTGTTGTATTTGTTGTAGTCTTAACCTGTGTCTTGCCTCTGTCACTCATATATTTAAACTTTTAACTTAATACATTCAGAAGTGGCAGTTGCCACTAGTGACAGAATAACACCAAACAGGGATAATAAACATTATGCTCATTTTATTCCTCCTGTGCAAAGAATTGATTGGTGGCCTCTGTCTGTCTTAGTGGTGAAATGTACTTTGAGAGCCACTCCCATTATCTCTTGGTTCAATAAACAGGTTACAATTCATTGTACTCGGACCATTCTGATAACAAGAATGTTCACAGTTAAAACTGGAGTACATTTCCAGGTTCCTTAAGTTGTTATTATTCGCTTTTGTTTTGTTTTACTTTCATTCCAAGAGCCAGGAGTATTACGTACTAGAGTTAGGTACAGTGATTGCCGGATATTTTCTAGCTTTGTGGTGTGCAGTCACCACAGCCAACCAGTGGCATTCAGACTTGCATTATTTTATAATCCATCTTCTCACTGTGCATGTGTCATCTTTCTGAACTAGTGGTTTCGGCAAGACTCAGGAAAGTTTTACAAATGACGCCGCTACGTAGGCAGCTTAATACAGTATTACATATTTTAGTAAAGTTGTGCAAACCTCTGCTCATTTTGTCAATCTTTTGGATTCAGCCACAAGTTTGGGTCCTTTTTTTCATCTGAATTGCTGTGCACATATTGCATTATGTGTCTTTGCTTTGTGAATTAAGCTTATGGAAATGAAGAGATGTCCTTCAATTGTATTATGTTTTAGGATTTTCATGGCCATGCTTGTCAGTTCTATTGCTAGAGAATGTGGCCCTTAGTTACTTCAGGAAATGGTCATTAATTAACTTTGCAGGTGTCAAAGTAATTTTACTTCTTTGTATTTTTCAGCTATACTGACTTCTGTTGAAACCATTCAAAGCTGAGGACATGGACCTTTGGCAATGTGAGAAGATATTGTACAGTATATTTTAAATCTATGAAATTCATAGTTCTGATGCTTTTGGCCACAGAGCATCGTTTTATCACTTCTGGAAAATGTTTATTCCAAAACAGCTTTAATGGCCCATATGTACACTCAAGGTTATGTAATGTAATCTCAAGGTTATTATTCTGACACCAGCTTGCTGCTATGATTTCAGAGCACATAAGTAAAGGTGCTTTTTAGTGTGTGGTCTACAGCCAGAGCTTACTTAGTTGCTGATTTCCAGATTTTGATGTTTCTAAAGTCTAGGTGGATTTATATTTCTTTTCACTTTTCAGTACATAAATTTAGTTATTATTTCCAGTGAAGCTTGTTTTCCCTTTTTTTTTTTTCTTCTTCCTCCCATTTTGGCTACTGCAATGCTTTGTTTCACCCTTGATTTGTAAAAATTTTATATATATATTTAAAATGTGCCATTTTATTACTGCTAAGTGAAGTATGTCCATTTCCTGCTATAATTATTTCTCAGTCAGATTGCATTGTCAGCAGTTATGCCACACTCTTGTCAGCTTAGATACAAATGTTATCGCTTACTTTTTTCTTAAAAAGCAATTTAAAATGTAGGTATTTTGAAGTACTGGGCTTATACTTCATTGGACTAGATGTGTACAGCAATAAGCAGGTTTTCAAATCCAGTACTTAGTTTGTGTACAAATGTAATTATGTTCATTGTGTATATATTATACAATGAGCACATGTAATGTAAGTATTAAAGGCTACTTACTGTTGTTTAAATGCAAATGTTCATATCTCATTTCTTTTTTATCATGTTAAATAAATGTTGATGTTCTTAAATCACTTGTGTTAGAATTTTTGCTCTTCCCATCTAAAATGGAAAGTCTGAGACTTTAAGAGGCTTCTAGATGAAAAAGTAGTTAGTTAATCTTACTGGAAAGAGCATCGTAAAAGAACTGTGTCTGTCATCCAGCTCAGCTCTCCCACGTCAAAGTCGAGAAACTTGAGGCCCAGAGAGAGAAGCTGACTTGGCCACAATCACATTACATTTAATGACAAAATTTGCACCAGCATAAAGCTTTTCTGACTTTTCAACACCACTGGGCAAATGTAGTTTTGTCAAGTCTTCTATACCTATTTCTGTTGGTTTCCGTGTCATAGAAGGTGTCTGCAGCCTCGCTCTGCTTAGTGGACTGAACCTGGGGTTGGGGGGCGGGGGCAGAGTTATTTCTCTGACATGGGTAACTAGAAACCGTTTCATCCTCATAAGCAGAGATCATTGTCTCTTACACCACATTCTCTGCAGATGTTCACGCTCTTCAGAATCAATTACATTTCCTTTCCACTATAACCTTTTGTTCAGGCTATATATTGTTCCCAGAGTACAAGGAAATGCGAGGCTTTGGGATTCCTATATAAAGTTGCTGAAACTAAATTGGTGCTGGTCAGTCTTTTTTTTTTTTTTTCCATGCTATGTTAAAGAGGATTTAGATATAATTTTAAATGCAGATGTATAAGAATTCATCTGCTCCAAACAGAAACACACAAAATGAAGTGCAAATAGATACAGGCTTTAACGTAGGAGGTGAATGAGAAGAGAGGTGAAAATGAGAGAAGAATGTTTAGCTCCCTGTATCCATACGAACATGTTTACATATGTTACCTTTTCCTAAAGACACACAGAAGTCTTCTCAGGGGAAATAGTCAACAGATTATGATTTCCCTTTAAGTCATGACACAATGATAGTTACCAATCTTTTATGGGTGTGTTGAGGGGAGAGTTGATGTTATTCTTTGGGATTTGTTTGGGGTGGTTTTATGTGGGGCTTTTGTCTTTATGTTTGCCTGGTATGTGTGTGTGTGTGTGTGTGTGTGTGTGTGTGTGTGTGTGTGTGTGTATGGTTTAACTTGAAGCACTTTTTTTAATAAATTTATTTATTTTTATTTTTGGCTGCTTTGGGTCTTCGTTGCTGCACGTGGCTTTCTCTAGTTGCAGCGAGCGGGGGCTACTCTTCATTGCAGTGTGCGGACTTCTCATGGCAGTGGCTTTCTTTGTTGTGGAGCACGGGCTCTAGGCACGCGGGCTTCAGTAATTGTGGCACACGGGCCAGTAATTGTGGCACACGGGCTCAGTAGTTGTGGCTCGTGGGCTCTAGAGTGCAGGCTCAGTAGTTGTGGCACACGGGCTTAGTTGCTCCACGACGTATGGGATCTTCCCGGACCAGGGCTCGAACCCGTGTCCCCTGCATTGGCAGGCGGATTCTTAACCACTGCACCACCAGGGAAGTCCCGCTGGGCCCCATTCTTAAAATTTCTGATTCTTTCAGTCCGGGGTGTGGCCCAAAAATTTGAATTCTAATTCTAACAGGTTTCCAGGTGATTCTAATGCCTATGCTCCAGGTACCACACCTTGAGAACCACTGGCACATAATAAGGCTGTGTGTTATTTTTTGAATTTTTGTTTTATTTACATGTGGTAGTAAAAAATTAGGATAAATTCAGTTTTTATTTACAAAGGTGTGCACAGAGTGTAGAAAAACTAAAAAAAAATAATGCAACAACTTAGAGATGTTCTACCCCTAGGCCCAAAGGGGTAAGGGGAGAAGTAAGTGGAACCCATAGGAGAGAGTCACTTGAAAGAAGCCTTAATCTTTTTTCAAGAGACCAAGCCAGCCTCAGTGTATGCAACCCTGCAGGGATGGGGCCAGAGCAAGAAGTATTCCCATGGCACTGTCTTATTGCCAGGGCTCCCAATGGCTGAACCCAGTGGGATTCAGAAGTCACAGGAGTTGTGTTGAGTGTGGCCGGGAACTGACGGGGGTTTCCCAGACCTCAGAGGACCCTTGAAGTCAAAACTGTTTTCATTATAACACTAATGTGGTATTTGCCTGTTTCACTTTCATTCCTTCAGTAGTGAATAGCGGCGTTTCCCAGAGGCTATCTGACCTGTGATACGTCAACAGACTGAGTGCAGAAGCAGATGTGGAAATCCAGCTGTCTTCTGTTAATCCCTATAGAAAAGAGCGTTACAACAATGGAAATCAATTTTTTTATTATTAAAAAGCATGTTATTTATGTTAACACGTAGTGGGTTTATTACTGTTATTTTTGATGAATGAGAATATTTTAAATGTTTCTCAGCTTTAATTTCTATTGCCGTAAATGCCAATAGATATAACCCACAAAACAAGCTATTTAGAGTCCTCAATAGTTGTTAAGTTGTGAGAATCCTGAGATTCAAAAGTTTGAGAATCTCTAATATAGTCCTTAGAGGTCAGCCGCCTGTTGCAGGGCACAGTTGAAAGCTTTGAGGGGCGAAGGAGATACCAGCCCACCTTCCTAAGGACAATGCTACTTACAGTCACTACTTGCAGATCACCACCCATCTGCTCCTTGAACTGAAAGCCCCAGTGTCTGTGAGTGATATCCAGAGCCTGTGGGTCCCTCTTGGGTCCTGCAGGCTGCAAATCATTCATAAAAAATGACTCAGAAAGGCGGCGTCCATACATGCAAAAGTGTAGAAAGGCTGAGGCTCTCTGGAATATCTGTTCTCTTTTTCTTTGTCCGCTTCAACACACACTTTTGGCCTTGCCTCGGTCCCCAGCTGTGTTTGAATTTTTACTCTAGCCCCCATACCCAATTCATACTTCCTTATTCATAGCCTTGGGTGATTACGAAAACAGTTCAAAATGGGTAAATGAAGATGTGCCATTCCACGTCAACATGGAGGAGCACCCCTGAAAAAATCCATTACATTATTCACCCAAATGATGTTATTTGTTGTTATACGGTGCGTGATTTATACGGAGACATTCGTGTCACCTGTAAGAAATTGCTATTCTCTGACTGCCGGACTGTCTGGTTCCACCCAGCGTAAGAAAATGAATGATTCAACCCTTTGTATTTGAAGTAGCAACTCACGCTGTTCAGAAACTTGTTCAGCATATACCTTAAAATAGCAGCTGCTCAAAGATCCCTAGCTTTTTTTTCCTTTTTTTTTTCCCTTGGAGACATAACATATCTCACCAAGATCCTTACCAAGTGTGTTGGGCTTGTGGAGACATCTGGAAACCGCCAAAGAGCAGGCCTGGAACAGAGCTCGTGTCTGTAATATCCTACTGGAAAGTGACAGGGATGTAATGGAGTTGCTGGAATTTCAAACACATTGGCTGCTAGCCGTATCCGCCAACATCGCCCACAGCCAAAGACGAGGGAAGCAGCTGCTTCCAGTAAGTTCCCTGGTCTAACCCGCAATTTACAAAAGAAGGAATAGAAGCGTTCACTAAATGTATGAATTATCAGTGGTAATCAAAGATAGACAAATTAAAATGAGATTACAATGAGATATCTTTTTTACCCATCAGTTTGGAAATGGTGCAAAACAAAGTGATAATGCAGGCTTTCCTGGTGGCGCAGTGGTTGAGAGTCCGCCTGGCGATGCAGGGGATACGGGTTCGTGCCCCGGTCCGGGAAGATCCCACATGCCGCGGAGCAGCTGGGCCCGTGAGCCATGGCCGCTGAGCGTGCGCGTCCGGAGCCTGTGCCCCGCAATGCGAGCAGGCGACAACAGTGAGGGCCCGCGTACCGAAAAAAAAAGGAAAAGAAAAAGTGATAATGCAGTCCACAGTCCATGTTGTGCACTTCAAAATTTGCTGAGAAGTAAACTTATACGATGTTATATGTCAATTATAGCTCAATAAAGCTGGAAAACAATTTTTTTTTTTTTTTTGCGGTACGCGGGCCTCTCACTGATGTGGCCTCGCCCTTTGCGGAGCACAGGCTCCAGACACGCCGGCCCAGCGGCCATGGCTCACGGGCCCAGCCGCTCCGCGGCATGTGGGGTCTTCCTGGACCGGGGCACGAACCCGTGTCCCCTGAATCGGCAAGCGGACTCCCAACCACTGCGCCACCAGGGAAGCCCTGGAAAACAATTTTAAGACGGCAGATCTCACGTTAACTGTGCTTACTGCCTGCATGCAGACAAAAACACGATGGGACACAGGGACACTCTGGGAAGGGTTAGATGTGTATTATTCCCTTGATTGTTGTGATAGTATTACAGGTCTTTGAATATGTCCGCGTTCATCAAATTGTGCAGTTCTTTGTATATCAATTATACCGCTATAAAGCTATTTTGTTTTGTTTTTTATAATATAAAAATAATAAGTGATAATATCCTGAGTTGGCAGAGTGTAGAGAAAGTTGTAAATTTATATAGAGATAGCCTGGGACCTGGGACCCACTACCACATGCAATAGCTTGGGACCCGGGACCCTTTACTGGCGTGCAGAGTATAAACGCCTCCTCAAGCAACAGCATACAGAGAAACTATAAAGGACTAAAAATAACTGCATGCATGCTGCAGTCCCAGCAGTTATCAACAACAAGCTACAAAAAGGCCACAAAACTACTGCCGTGTCTGAGGTGCCGAGAGCAAAAGCACGATACTGCGCATGACCCCTGCGCACAGCACCACCGAGGGAGGGGGTGGGCAGACCACCTAAGCCACGCCTCTGGTCCCACCCACCAATCCGCCTCGCCCGCACCCATTTGAGGAACCAGCCAGCCATACCCGGAAAACGAGCAAGATCACCTGTTTCTTGTTTTCGTTCCCTGGTGCTGCAGCACGAGCACCAAGAAAGCCTTGCGTGAAGTTCTCGTCTGTCCTCTTATCAATTTCTATTGATTAAAGAGTCCAAGGACGCAGGTTAGTAATAATACAGGGCTGGTGGGAGTGTCAATTGATAAAACGTTTCAAAAGTATTTAAAAACGCATACTCTGATCCAACAGTTCTGGGAATTTTTCTTGGAAATAACCTAGTGAGTACCCAGCGACATTT